TAGTTTTAATTTTGTAATAAGTATGTTTTTGCACGCGAAAAACGGCGGGAATTAATGCACGCACCTAATACTCCAGAATTATCGCGAGTTGTGCCTCCAATGCAATGCATAGGTTCCTCGAGATTTTTGCTAACAAATTACGGTACCACTGAAGATTTTCTTTCATTGAAAGATCCCAGCCGGTTAGCGACGAACCTACGTAGGGCGTCTCTAGGTGGCGGATAGGGGAGACAATCGCCGTACAGTCTCCGGTACGTGCCCAAAGACGCAGGTCGATTAATGAGATGGACTACCTGTTTCTGCTGTGCTGGTCGGTGTACCTTCTCTATCTCGCAGGTGTATCCACGCATACGTGTGTGGTGGGTCTGAGGGCACAGTTGGTATCCTGCTCATCAGCTTAGCCAAAAGCTTGCATTCGAAAGACTGGGAAGTTTTTGGGATGCGAATCAGGGCCGCCTCTAAAAACAAAGTTCCTCGTTCTCTTCGAGGTAGCCAGCTAGCCCCCGTATTCGACCCATATGCCAAATGCACTAATAAAAGATGGCCTTATACTCTGAACCCTAGGGAGCTCCCAAAACGGCAGCGTATGGTACGACCGCTCGGGGAAGGCTGCTAAAATCTTGGGGTCTTAACAGGCTGTTCAAAAGAAGAACTAATCAGGGGAGGATCCTAAGTCGAAGTGGTCGTTTGGAATTAGTTCTACACTGCTAGACGTGTTTTCGGATGCTAATCTCAAATCTGCTTTCCGAATTTGCCGAGCGTTTTAATGAATGGAATCATGAGATAATTTCAGGGAAGGCTTAACATAAGAGAGGTTATACATGGATGAACAATGCCCTGCAGCGGTTGTTTGGAGCAGTGGTAAGGGTGACGCTTCATGTGCGAGAGGTCAGGGTTTGGGTTTTGTGAGAGGCGAGAATTTTGCATTCGATTGAATTTTCCTTGTAGCCTACGGATTACTTTTATCAGATTTTATCGTGTTCTACGAGTTTTCGCTGATGTGGGGATAACTCCCCCCCAAACATGCAATATCGCTTCAATTTTTTTTTTCGCATATTTGTAAATGAACATGCATCGATACGGAGTTCCTTCTTTAGACCATCCGTGTGTAATAGTGCGCCACCTGCTACCACACCGCATTCGCCCCAATGTGAATACAGCATGCACAATCAATACATCAAGACTCGCGGAATGAGCAGTGTGAAAGGGTGTCCGAGTGTATCATCACGTCATCCATAGTAATTCACGGCTCCAAAAGCCCACCCATCCGCGATGGACGCGGGAGTCGCCTGGTGGACAGTTCCATAATGAAATAGATCACATCGTCTTCAATCAAAAGCTTTGCCTGTATGACGTCGCTGTGGCTCCGAAATTCTATAAGAGGTCAGACCATCGTTTTCGACGCGCTAGATTCTGTTTTTCAGTGCGTGGGAAGAGAGAAAAAAACAAAGCCCAGCCTGTTGTCAATTGGGATAAATTCGCTTCACTTGCTAGTTTGTGGGAAGATTTTGTCAGCGACAACATCGATGAAGAGTACAACCGGCTCGTCGCACATCTTCACGATAGCTGTGGGAAAGTAGAGTCTCAAAGATGCCAAGAAATATTTCTCCTAAGACTCGAGCTGATACGCCACCGGAGCTTCATCAGTTATAAGAATAACGTGACTTCCCTTCGACGTCCAGTTACTGCATCTCGAAGGGCAATGGAGAAGGTCATCTACGACTTCTACTCTAATTTCTTCGAAAGCCACGTCTACCTATCATCCTAGGCAAGACGGATACGTCGTCCTTTTAGTTTTCTCTTCCAAAATTTGACATGCCATCATGTCTAACAAGAATTGTATGGCGTCCCCGATAGGCTCAAACGAGAACATCTTAAGAGCCTTTCGCCAGTCATTGTCAAAATCCTGGCTCTGCTCTTCACGCGTTACCTGTCGGAGTGCAAAGTGCCCCCTTCGTGGAAAACTAGCAAGACTGTGTTGCTGTACAACAAGGGAGACACAGGCAATTTTGACCATTAACGCCCAATCTGCAACACTCTGTCGTCTACAAACTATTCACAGGCGTCATCCACAAGAGGATCGGCAGAATACTAGCTGGAGGACAGCCATGCCAGCACGAAGGGTTTCGGAGAGGGTCCAATACAGTCGATCACATCCACGTTATTGCAAGACTCATTGAATTATGGCAAGAGTACAAAATGCCTGTCTTACGTTCATCGATTTGAGGAAAGCCTTCGATACCGTCGAGACAGAAGCGGTAATCGAAGCCCTGGGCAACCAGGCTGTTCCCACTCAACACATAAGGATGCTGCTTGAGCTCTACTACAACATCATGACCAGGACTGTGATAGAACACTGCCACGCGGAAACTTTTTTGCCATACCTCAAACTAGGGTAATTAAACGAGTGAAAAGTAGAAAACAAGTTGAATTAAGCTAGTAATGAGTTATAAACAAGTGAAGCATAAAAGCAAAGCATGGTATAGAAAGATACAAATACAGCATGGATAGATAAAAAGGTTACAAAGATCTAAAGAAATCCATAAGAAACTGAATCTATCTGCACCAGATAGGTCTTTCAAGGTATCAGGACAGTGCACCAGATTGCATCGGATCGCGCCAAAACCAATATGAGCGCCAACTGCGTCAAACAAGAAGACACCAAAGCCCAATAAAGCACCGAAAGCACCACAGCACCACAGCACCAGCACGCTGATACGACAAGGGAACCGCGAACAAAGAGAACAAATGCTCATCACTCTGTGATACTGCGCGCCTACTTGTTACCGGAGTGGTTCACCATATTGTTGCTCCGAATCCTCCAGTTCCTGCTGTAGCAATTTGAACTACACCTCTTTGCGCTCTGCCCTTTCCGGTGACTCACACAATGCATAGTGATCTTTCCGAGTGGAGCAGTATTTTCAGAATGTCTTTTTCCGCCAACATCGATCCGTCGAATGTGAAACATCCAGACAGTTGTTGCATCAGACGCGTTTACAGCGTTCACTCAGTGTTTACAATGGAGCAGTTATCGCTGTAATGTAGCCCTTTATGGTCACAAAACGAACAAGGCGAATACTTCTCTTCCTCGCTCATTTTGATGATTTCCGCAATTGTTCCATGGGGACGCTGTCGGTTGGATCGGATTTCTCTGCTCAACCCTTCGATCTCTTCTACGAGCTTCTTCCATTTCATTTTTTTCGAGCTCGAGCGGATCCGGAGATTGTCCCACTGTGTCTTTCTTGCGTTTTGGTCGACTCTGCCTTTGTTGCTTTAAATTCTTCTGCTTGGTTCCTTGCTGTCTGTTAGATTGGTCTTCGTCGTGCACCAAAGGCTCTTCGTCTCGACTTTCGGATTCCTGCTCACAGTCATAAACATTTCCCAAGTTCAGTAGGTCTTCTTCTAATTCCTCGACCTGATCTGCTTCTAACTCAGCAAATTCTTCAAGCACACATCCTTTGTCATGGGTTGTTCCGTGAGAGGGAGATTTTCCACTTCTGTCGCATCCATCTCTGATTGAGCTCGGCAATGTCTTCACGTACCGCCTTTACCATCCCTCCGATTTCATGTGTCTGCCTTTTCTGGGCTTCCACTTCTCGCTGAGGAAGGTTGTACGACTCAGTCATGTATTTGCAAAACCACTGACGACCTTGATTAATTCTTCAATGGTATTTGTATGTCATTCCAGTGACAACTCTATTTCTGCACTTTTCATTGCTCTCTTAGTATTCCGCTGCAGCTCATCAAGAAAATTCATTTCACTTCTTGTATACTCAACGATAAAGGCCGGTTCTATCGACACTCCTTCGATGTATGTATCGTGAACTTCTGTCTCGACTCATCAGTAGTTGTCTCTTCCACTATCAGGAACTTGTAGGGCCATTGCGAGACCTGCCATCGCACCTTGTATGCACCTTTTGATGTGATTTGCTTTCAGCCAGACGCCTTCCATCTTCGACCTGTAGAGGGTGGCTTTCGCCCTGGCTAGTCCGAGCACCTTGAACCTCTATGAAGGCCCCTTGGAGGTGGCTTTCTTTTGTGAGACGAAATATTTCGCGGACGAATTGTCGGATCTTTCTTTGAACATCTGTTTCTTATTGTAGAGTTGGTGTTAATCTTATGCACAATCTTTTATATTTCAGCTCATTTGTCAACTTTCTTTCGTGGTAGCTTCTCTGCCTTCTTCATCCTTCGTATGTCTCTTTCTGCGCCATGATCCTAAAATACCATATCTGACGTTATAATGGCAAAGTCTCATGCACTACTATCCCCTGACTTTTTTCATACATATGCATCTACGTAATTCCAAATTCGGAAGATTTTCTCACTATGCTTACCAGTGCGTTTCAGCAGATAGAAGTAAAAACATAGCGTGTTGCGCGGAAAATCAACTTCATTATCCATGCGAAAGCGCCCAAATCGCTTTGAAACACATGTCTACGATCCACTTGCACGCTGTGGCCAGAAACAGGTAGGTCAAGGTAAGCGCTGTTCCCACCGTTGCCAGTGTGACGATCACAATTTTGAACCAGTGCAAGTAGACGTCTATTATGTGCCCATAGTTTGGCTCCTGGAATCCAAAGGTGTTGTTGTGGTCTTGTCGGAAGGAGTATTTGAAGCTGTCATGCTAGTTATGTATGTACTTCAGTATCCCGGTGATCTCAAATGAAGATGATTTCGATCCGCATCTTACTAAGCAGTGATTCCTCGTTTTTGCCGATGGGATATGAAATTGTGACTATGAATATAATCCGGATGCAAGCACGGTACTGTAAAGGTTTCGATTCCGCAGTCGATTTGTGCCGATGTTACTTTTGATCTGGAAATGCATTGGGTGACAGCTGTTGCACCCTTTTTACAATCGTAACAATTAGATGTCATCAACGGTATACTGATCTTCCGTAAAATCCACGGTGCTATCGGCAAGAATTTCTCCTGCATTTGGTAAGATTTCCGCGATGTGATACTCCTTGGTCGATGTGAGCTATTACAGTATTTGTTCGGTTTCTCGTGATTTTTAGGCCTAGCTGTATCACTGGAAGCACATTGCTAATATCCTGGAAGGTTTTGGATATATCGTCGTATTTGCATTTACGACAACTTGGAATTTCGCTGGTGTGCAGTCACAATTATCTCGCAGACTACAAAGCAGGTCTCTCGCGTGTTCGTGAGATGGACACAAGAGCATAGGTCGTTTGCCCGTTTTCCTTAATGCTGTGGAATCTCCTGTAGTTATGAATGCGGTATTCAGAGCCGGTATAAGTGGCAGCGCTAGCAAGCTTAGTGTAAATCTCAAGGTGGAAAGCTGCTTTGGAATGTTAGGTTGTAGCGCTGGAGCATGCGTTCTGGATGTCCCTTCGGCCAGCCATTTTATGTGCACCTTAACCTTCGCTCGTTCTTGTCAGCGACTGCATGAGAAAAATCTCAGAGGTCCCTTTTTTGCCGAAACCGCATAAACCCTGTAATACGGGTCCGGGAACTTCTCCCCTAACACGGCGTCGCACACGCCGCACCCGCCGCCTATCGCAGGATTGCGATGAAAGATTGGAGCGCGCAATTTGTGAGGTAGGGAGTCCTTTAATCATTTGAATTGGCTGATCGCTCCCTTCAATTTCAATGCGGCATTGATCGTCGTCTATATAAGAGGAGTCATTTTAATTAATCAAGTCTAGAAAAAATGAAAACTAAAAAGAAACAGAAGAAAAAGCGATAAAATCCAATGAAGAAGCAAGCCAGTCAAGGAAAAATATCGCGTCCTATCGATTTTCGGGAGGCGGGGTGAGTACGGTAATTGCAGTGACATTTGCCGCATGCCGCAAGGGAGNTAACACGGCGTCGCACACGCCGCACCCGCCGCCTATCGCAGGATTGCGATGAAAGATTGGAGCGCGCAATTTGTGAGGTAGGGAGTCCTTTAATCATTTGAATTGGCTGATCGCTCCCTTCAATTTCAATGCGGCATTGATCGTCGTCTATATAAGAGGAGTCATTTTAATTAATCAAGTCTAGAAAAAATGAAAACTAAAAAGAAACAGAAGAAAAAGCGATAAAATCCAATGAAGAAGCAAGCCAGTCAAGGAAAAATATCGCGTCCTATCGATTTTCGGGAGGCGGGGTGAGTACGGTAATTGCAGTGACATTTGCCGCATGCCGCAAGGGAGAATGCCGCGATAGGGGAGAAGTAATTTGAACTTTTGTACTAGGGGAGACACCCTTTTATGCACTGTGTATCCACGCATATTTCGTATTCTGGTAGTCCAGGTGCATTTACAAGGACTCCCCCCCCCCTCCCCTCCCCTCATGCATTCTATTAAATGTTCAGGAAGGAGATTTAATACCCGACTGGACGTACTATTCAATTCCTTTTTCGGCATAGCTCGTGCAGTGGGAGTTGCCAAGGTAAAAAGTACCAGTGCCATTTTCAGATAAAGAGATGATGACCATGTACGAGGGTTCCTTTGCCTTCTTACCATGACCGGAGTCACTGCAGATTCGGCCGTGTCCTCTGACTATATCCGTATTCGTCTTGGGCGTAGGTTGTAACGTCCCACTTGCGGGGGAACCGTAAACCGTATGCTAGAGGGGTAGTCGATTTCTTTATCCAAATTATATCCTGTGATTTACAGGGGTGTAATTGGTTCACTGGTATTCTCACAGTATGCTTTGTCCGAAGCACTTCAATTCTCTTACTTCTCCATCGCTAATTGTGACGAGTTTGGTGATCTTTGCAATCCCCCACTGACTTCGCTTCTGACATGGGTCACTCAGCAGTACAATTTCACCTTCACGAGGGGTTTTTGCTTTCGATGTTGCTCTCGAAGGGTGTTAGATAGTGATTTAGCCATATCGTCCAGTACTTCTCGGTCAACATCTGCGAAGATCGCAACGCCTGTGCCCGTAGTAGGGTCTGTAGACGTGCCCTTTCTGTCGAAGGCATGTATATGCTGTCCAGATCGTCCGATTCCTCGTTCTCGGGGAGAGTGATTTCTGTATCTCGTTGAAGAAAGTCAGTTGGCCTCAGTGCAGTGAAGGTGCTCTCCATATCAGTCTTTTGGGAGGTCTATGGTCTCGAGTTAAGACATCCTTTAATTTCTGCGGGAAGAGTATCCATCATATTTTTTGTTGGAATTCTTCTCCCCACAGTCTTTGTCATCACCTGGTTGACCGATTAAGTGAGTCTTTCTCAAAATCCGCTTTTCCAAGAGGAATATAGCGTAATATGATGTCACTCAATCATTTCATCACTCATTTCTCGTGCTACAGTACCGAGTAGCGATCAGTGAGGTATGCGTTTTTAATTTTTGAACGTGACTTTCACAAATTACAACCTTTCGGCGGGAAACCTAAGCAGCAGGTAGCTTAACACAGTAACAGTTAGTAACATTATACTTGCGCAGCAGTCTAGCAACACTTCCAACCAAAACTGGCGCTTAGTTTTCAAAGAGCCCCTAACGCGACTTTTGCCTTCGATAATTCGCGGGCTTTTATGTTAGGAATTTCTAATTCTTCTAATTCTCGCTACTTTGTTTCACGTCATGCACCTAGAACATCAATAAGGCTCTTTCAAGGCACTGGGGAATCTGAAATTCACGGCAAGATCAAATTGACGCCTTCATTCGAGGCTTCCAGAAAGCCTTAACATATAGGCGAGTTTCCGAAATTCAAAGCGTGCCAGTTATGTGCGTACAAGCAATTTGGAAGGAATACAAGGTCTCAGAGTCAGCCGAAGTCAAAAGTCACGTAGAAGCAGCGAGATTGACGCTGTTTTGTCGACAGAAAAATTGTGCAGCGTGCAACAAATGGCTTTTGAAAACTTTTCGCGAAATCTCGCCGCCCGAAAGACCAATCCATCCGTAAACACTGTTCTACGTCTTTTGAAAGAGGTCGATCTGTTTGGACATCGTCCAGCAAGAAGCCGCTGATTTCTGCCATGAATCGCAAAGAACTTTGAGGTTGGGCTCATCTTCTTCATCTTCATCTTCAAAAACTGGGTAGTCCAGCAGTGAGGTAAGGTCATCCAAAGCGACGAGCCCAAGTTTTTGCTGTCTGACAAGGATGAAATAAAGTTGGTGTGACGTCCAATCGGTACAAGATGCCATGCAAGTTACGAGCTGCCAACCGTGAAATATGGCGGAGGTAGGGTGATGGTTCATGGCAGCTTCTGTGGCAAAAGAGTGTACTCCCTCTGAAGTATCGAGAGTAAGATGGATTCCAAGATGTGCACCAACATTATGGAGGTTTTTATCTACCCGCTCATTCGCGGTACTGGCCCCGGTCACTTAATTTTCCAGGAAAACCATGACCCGAAGCACAAAACGAAGCTGCTCACCAACTGATTCCGTTCCTCTTTTACCGTGGCCATTGCAGTCTCCAGGTCTGAATTTCATTGAACATCTGTAGGATCGTTTCGAGTGCCAGTTTAAAAGCCTTCGAGCCCACAACAAGCACGATAAGCTCCTCAGCTCAAGACCATATGGGAGAACATCATTCAGGAGGAGATCGACAAACTCATCAAGTCCATGCCAAGCCGATTTAAGCCATCATTGACTCTGAAGGTTATGCTACGAAGCATTGACGTCTTACTTGTTATATTTGCTGTTATGCAAGTCGCTGCGCTGAGAAAGAGAAAATTAAGGCAAATTGAATTTTCAGTGGTATTATAGGGCTTAACCCTTTTTTTCGACAAGTCTTTCAAAATAAACCACAATTAACTTAGGCTACTGAAAACTCGCTCTTTGATCACATTCAGTGATAGGCATTCACAATGAAAAAACCAGATGTAAAGATATTGTTTTAAAGAAGTTACGTTTGAAAAAGGGAAAACGCATACTTCACTGACCGGTACTGTACGTTCTCATCCATACGATTTGATTCTTTCCCACTATTGGGACTCTGAGCACCTATTACGAATACCGCAGCGTTGTTGCAGGTTACCGTTCCCGGCTCCCCTCTTGGAGCTACGAATCTACGGAAGGCATTTGAAAAAATTGTGCGCTCTTCCATCAGAAACCATTCCAAGTGTATTATTGATGTCTTTGAAGATCGACTTTACGTTTCCATACTTTTTGATACCCTCCTTTATTGAGCTCGCTTCTGGGAACAGGTTATCGACGTATGAGTTCGACGCGATTTCGTTTGCCATGATCCGACCAGGCACGTTTTTGCTAAGGTGATACAGGGTGGTGGCACTCCAGAGGAATGGGGATGCGTTGACCCCAAATGTGACTCGTGTAAATTAATGACGACTATGTAGTCTTCCGAAGCGGGCTCTGGGACGCCTTTCACCCACAGGCAGCATTGAGTAACGTCTCGGTTGGCCTCATGGAGGTAGATTTGAAGAAAGGCTCTCTCTACGTCCGATATTAAGACGTATTCCTCAACTCTGAATCGCGACGAAATGCCATATATTTTTGGGAGCATTGTTGGTCCTTGGTGGACTACGTCGTTTGATGATGGACGATCTTTATAATGGGCAGAGACATCGAAAACTATCTTGAACATGGTAGTGTCCTTCGAGGTTATTAGAGGTGGTTGCGGGAGGTAGTGCTTTATTTCCCCGAAGATATCTTCCGAATCATTGACAACTTCCAAAATGCTTTTCGTTCCGTTCTTAGAAGACACTTTGGTACTGCTGGAATATAGGCGGTATGTCCCTGTATATTTTGAAGATATTTTGAGGGCGTTTCAATGCCAGAGCTCGATTATCCGGCAAGAATTTGTGCTTATTTTTGAAAAGAAGCCTCACAAAATATCCCTCCTTACGCGTCTCGATCGTTTCGTTGAATTACTATAGTGCCTTTGCATTGGTTGTTTCCTTTTCAACCCTTTCCGGACCAGTGAATTCGTCTTCCTCTTCTCTGATATTCCTCAATGTTACTACCATGGATCATTCTTATCCTGTGCATGGATTGTGATGATCGAGAACGTATCTCTTCTGAGACATCCTTGTTTCGGAATTTTCTCCCTGAAACAATGTATCTTATAATAGTGGGAATCAATACCAATCCAAAAGACAGTGTGAACTGTGGCTCATCGAACTTAACGAGTTGCCACAATTGATCATATCTGATGATGACTTGAGGATTGTGTGGTTCGATATCTGAAAAAATGCTGGCAGAGTTTGACAGTGCTTATGGAATGATTGGCTTGAGACGGACCTTAACAAAGACGATGTTCATAAGAACTAGATTTGTACCTGATGTTGCCTTTACGCTAAGTGGAACGAATAGCTCAGAATGCTCTAACTATGCATATCTAGGTCGGGAAGTCAACATGATGAACGACGTAGAACCGGAGCTGAGCTGAAGGAAAGGCGCCTTTTGGGTGCACTTGGGAATACCGAGGGAAGACATCGAACGTCCGGCTGCCGCTCACCATTTTGACACTTCTGTTCTTCCTGCTTTGACGTATGCCTCGATGTCAGAATCCTTAAGATCAGCTGGCCTCAGAACGCACGGCAGTGACCCCTGCAGCTGAAAAAGCAAGCGGTAGTTCTGTGTCTGGCTCCAGTGTTACAGTCATCGGGAACGCAGCATTGTCAAACGATGCAGTCGCTCTTTCAGAGTGAGAACCCAACTACGCCCCTAGCCAATCACTCGGCTATGGTACACTACGTAAAATGAGGGTAGCTTGCAAGCTCTGCACGATCGCCTCCGTCGCAGAGCTAAAGTGGACTCGCTTTTTGATAACGCCCAGCATGCAGAACACAATATGACGATCCCCCCGCTGCCTTTCCCCGCCATGTTTTCACCGCCACAAGAGCCTAATGTTGTTGCTGATACGAAGTTCCACCTATTCGCAGCAACACTCTTCTCAGAGCTCCGCCGAAACATAGGCGTATGCGTTCCACCCAACCTAATTGCTGCTCAAAAACGGGACTCAAGGAACTTAGGGAATTATCGCAGTCGGGTGTAATAAAAATAAGCGTAAGCGACAAAGGAGGGGAGTTTGCACCTGCTTTTGCGGTTGCAACTCCAAGATCAATCCACATGCAGTCCTTCCGCCCCAGAGGAATTCACGATGCAGTACCGGCATCTAAACAAAGTGTGGACAGAGACGGCGAAGTTGGCACACTTGCCAAAAACTGTAATCAGCAGGCTCAAATGTGACCTACCCATATGTCCCGTATTGTATTTGCTTGTAAAATCTCATAAACTTCCCCAGGGTGGCATACATGTTGAGGACCCTAGCAGGTTTAAAGTTAGACCGTTATAAATTGTGTTGGTGGCCCTACGGATAGGATTGCTCGGTTTGTCAACCTAATCCTAATACAACTATGGCAGTTTGTCCCAGCACACTTACTTAACACTAATGGGTTCCTAAAAATACTACGTGGAGCCAGGTTATAAAGAGGAAATGTAATGGAGTCTTTCGACGTGACTTCATTATACACAAACGTATTAAGGGGAAACGCATTGCAAGCAGTATTGGAAATCCTGTCTGAGCACCATGCTAGTCTGAATTTGTATGGCCTCACTATCAAGCACATTATGTTGCTGCTCGACGAGAGCCTAAAGTGTAACGTCTTCAGGTGGTCGGGTGAATATAGGCAAGTGAGAAGACTAGGTATGGGGCAGAGGTTAGCACCAGTGCTGGCTATAGAGTTCATGTCGAAAGTTGAAAGGTCCGCCCTGGAACGAAGGTCACAATTTACTGCCGGTATATCGACGACTGTTTTATCGTGTGCTCCACTCAAACTGGGATGGACACCTGTTTTGAATTACTTAATAGGCAGTCTGAATACATTGAGTTCACAAGTGAAAAACCGGTAGAGAATTGGCTCGCCTTCCTTCCTCAACGTTCAGATAAAATTCTCGCATGGTATCCAGAAAACGAAGTGGTACGAAAGCCTAGCAGTAAGAATATCCTCGTCCATTGCAGTTCATCGCATCCATTTAAGACGAAAACTGCCATTGTCAAGAACATGTTTAAAACGGCTTCTGCAGTTTCGTATGAAGGCACTTTTAGAAATGAGGTCATGGAAATAGCTCATCGGATTGCGCAGGAGAATGGATATGGTTGCAACGGGCAGCCTGCGTGGCG